TGATTTTTAATTTTAATTTTTAATATTTTTAATTACAATACTAGATTCGAACGAATAAATCTGGAGATAAGCAAGATCAAAATATGCACGAGATGGATACTTTTTTTGCAAGAAAACACCTTAATGGAGCAATGTCCTGTTTTTGTTTTTTGCTTTCATATCATTTCTTAAAATTATTTTGATAGAGAAAAACGATAATTTTATACTCATGGTGCAAGAATAAAATATTTTTCTCAAAGTCTAAATTAGGGGTATATTTTTCGTTTAACATTATGAAGACCACTCCAGTTTTAATAGAAGTACAGCTCCGGTATAGCTCCTTCTTCTTCGGTTCAATTCTGATGCTTTTCTATATAATGATATTTGTCCTAATTTTCTCCTTTCCTATTCTGCAGTTATATGAAATTTCAAATTCATTACAAAATTCCATTACATTTATATTCCACAAAGGGTATATTTTTAAGCAGAGTAAAGCAGAGTAAGTGGTTTGATTGTGTATTTTTAAAGCTAAATAGTTCCCTGCTTTCATTCAGAAGTAGGCTGAATTTTATGCTATTTTGATTAAGGAAAGAAAGGTTTAAATGTCAGCGTCACCTGTAGGAGCCTCGTCCACTTTCCAGCACTTAAATCAGGTTGCTTACCAAAACATCTAATACCATTACACTTTGAAATTACTTACGTTCGTGGGTATTTAATTTTTGTTGTTTTTGAGGTAGGAAGAAACCCACGAAACCCTGTCCATCAAGATATGTTAAATGTCATATACGTAACAACTCAACAATTCTCCATCTACGAAATTACTCCCCAAAAACCCCAAACAAACTCACTCAATGATTGGGAAGGTCGTGAGTTCGAATCGCAGCCGCGACTGACCTACGTCGATAAAAAATAGGTAGCAACTGTTCCCTCGCCAAGCGCTCGGCACTTTGAAGTGAAAGTTGCGGAATCGACTTGGAGATCAAATGATTTCTAGAAATAACATCGTCTTGCTTTGCTTGACAGCAATGGCTCAAATTATCCATCAAATTTCTATCTACTTTGAAAAAAAAAACATTCCAAGTCCAATGTATCTAATCTAAGCATTATAATAATTTAATTTTCATAGTCAAAATACTCCGATTTTCATTGTAAAATCTAATCCCAAATTGTTGTAGAAGTCAAACATACATGTACCAACATGAAAAGATGTTCAATATCGCTTTACGAAAGTGTTGTTATTGGGGTCTGTTAACTTCAAGAAAAGTATAATAATTGCAACTTTGATTAAATGTATTTACTAATTGAACCAAGCAGATGCTATCGTCTTACACATTGAAGCATTTGCTTCTTTGTTGAATATTTCAACCAATACCTGTGTACCCTGAAAATATTAATTTATTTTAACTTTTGAATACAAAAAGAAATCTATGCAATAGCATACCACAGAACATGTTTCCGAGTAAAATGAAATTGTTGCAGGATTGTCTTTTCTGTAAAATTAAAGTAAACATTCTGACACATGAAAACAAGATATATTTCAAGTTTTTAACATAGAAAGATTAAGTAATTTTACTCATATGTAAATTCTTGTAAATATAACATGTACTTGGAAATGATGAACCTATATTAGGGATGGCAATCGAATACGGAATTGCTAATCGGTTAACCGAAAGACGTTCCGACCGATTAATCGGTTGATCGTATCAAAATACACATTTTCCTTATATTTCATTTTTAGTCCCCTACCGGTGAAACCGGAGGGGACTATAGGTTTCCTCTGAGTCTGTCTGTCTGTCTGTCTGTCTGTCCCTCTGTCTGTCTGTCAGTCTGTCCCACTTGGTTTTCCGCACTTTTTTCCTAAAAGCTTGTAGATATTGAGCTGATTTTTGGTATGTGAGTGTATCTTGATGAGTTACGGATCATGTTTGCATTTCGTTCCGCTTCATTGATTTTTGACGGAATTACGACCTTTTCAATTTTTAAGGGTTTTCAGCGATTTTTTTTCTAAACGCTTGCTGATATTGAGCTGATTTTTGGTGTGTGACTTAAACTTGATTACTTATAGATCAAGTTTGCATTTCGTTCCACTTCAATGATTTTTAACGGAATTATGGCATTTTCAATTTTTAACGGGAACCAGATTACACTTGCCGGTAGGGGACTAGTATTGCTAATGCAATACTCTCAGAATGCTTGTTCAAGTTAACTCTAGTTATATACACAAGAAAAATGAAAAAGGCATTAATGCTTGATTAGTAAAATATATATTTTATTTTATTTCAATTTCGAACGGTAAGAAAAAATAAGGAAACCATGAAACATCTCTTAAATATCGCAGAAATTGATATTGTTATAACACAAGGTCATTGTGCATTGTCACCATAAGCAGAAACTGAGTCTGAAATAATTTACAATGTTTGTTTGAAAATATAATTTGATAGATAACTGCGAAGGATAGACAGGGTAAGATACACATTGCAATCATTTAACAGAACTCAAAAAAGATTTAATTCATATCATAATTAAGACAGGCTGGGTAACGACATGGTATTTAAACAGCAATTAACACTTCGCAAAGTGACCAATTACCCCCAAGAAATTCAATCTTGAGAGTCTTAATTAAATTATTTACCTCCTAATCAGCCGAATTAAATGTGGAAACATTATAACTTATCAATATTCAGGGTTTTTTAACATTGTACATCGTGTTTTAAGGAAATTTACACCTATTTTAATTTTTTTTCCGACTAACCGATTACAGATTTTCTAACCGATTACCATCGTTCCGACCGAGTAACCGGTTAACCGATTACAAATTGCCATCCCTAACCTATATACATAAAAGGGAATGCACTAGTTCATGAAGATGACCAAAGTGTACATGTAACAAATATATGTCATTATGTACAATATAGATGTCACACGAATATATTAATCATGGTGTTATGCTGATAAAGATAACTTTTCTAAATTCGTTTACATTAATTTATAAAATAAAACACTTACCTTTTTAACAATGCGGAGAGAACAATAACTGAAATTTAGATAAAATTGCAAACTTGTTTCACAGTCCCCTGGCCTTTTTTTTTTATTTGGTTTCAATAACACTTGGAACTCATCAGTTACATATAATTTCTACTTACGCCTTTTTTTGATCCTCCCTTTAAATATTTTTAAGAATTGTTACTTATCAGATATATGAGTGGATAAAAAAATTTTCTCCAATGATTAAAGTTCATTAAAAAAAATATACATATGGCCCTTATCTAGCCCCAGTTAAATTAAATGAAATGAAATAAACCGAATTGATTCTACTCTACTTGAGGATGCCCCCATATCAATATGACAATTCATAGGTCTGTTGTTCTTGAGAATAGGATATCGATTTAGAGTTCTTTTATGTATCCATATATAAAACTCTAACCTCCTATTCTTGTTCCATCCTAGACCCAGGGGGCTATAATTTGGACAAACTTGAATCTAGACTACGTGAGAATGCTTCCATATGAATTCGACATGCCATAGCTTTGTGCTATTAATATTTTTTTTCTAAATATACCTATGTAAAACCTCAAACTCAAAATCTGGTCCAATCTACTCCTGAGGATTATATTTCAATATCACTATAGGTCTGTTGTTCTTGAGATTTCTTTTCCTCTCATATTCCTTTGTAAAACTTTGCATTCATGCATAGGCATGATTTAAAAAAAACTGAATCTACATTTTGCAATGATAAAGCTTTCCTATAAGGTTTTTTTTTTTTCTTCCCAAGTGATTCCTGAGTAGGAAATTTGTAACAGATGTCGCCATATTTTCACTAATTCTTAATCCCCCCCCCCCCCTTGAAAGAGGGTTTGGTCATTCATTTGAACTACACGTAACTTAAATCTCCTTTACTCAAAGATCCTTTGTGACAAGTTTGAGTGAAATTGGCCGAGTGCTTCTTAGGAAGAATCTAAAAATCTTAAAAGTTTCAGACAGATGGACGCGATATAAAATGCTTGCAGCTCAGTAGCGCATTCATAGCTGATTGAACTAAAGATTTTTTTCTTACGACAGACTTCGTCCCTAGCAACGATCTTGGTATGCTTTATAATCCTTAAATAAGTGGATGAAAATAAAAATATAGCTTAATCTTCAACATTTGTCAGCAAAAAAAAAAAATTATTGACAATAAATATCGAAAGCAATCGTTTATGAAGCAAGGAAGTTCGAAATTTTTCGTCACAATCACAAGTCTGACGAAAATCTTAATAAGTGAAACTTGCATCGCAAATATTTTGTAGTGTATTTCATTTAATTCAATACTAGTGAAATAGATATAGAATATTATTGGAAGTTGCTTTGAAGGTTCAATTTAACGTGTATTTTGGTTTTTACGTTTATATTTGTACAATAAAATCGGTTTTGAAATACTTAAGAGAGGGTAAGGGTTTTCGTAAGTTACGACAGATTTTGCACTTATGACTTTCTTAAGAATTTCTGTGAAAACGATTTTTATTGTAAGTTTTCAGTTATAATAAAAATATGTCGTACGATTTTTTTGTGAAAAGATCGACTAAAATAATGTGAGCTAAAAAAGTGAGCTAAAATAATGAAATACATTTCGTAGTTTAAAATGAATATTAAAGCACTGAACTGAGTGAAAAAAAATAAACATTTTGGATTATACTTAGATATCATGAATGTCATTAGCTACATGAAACAATTGTGATTTTGTTTATTGCATGACAAACATAAGTGTTTGTCTTTGTACATGTACAGGGCATTACATAAAAAGGAGTTGCCATCGATATTAAAATCGTTCACAGTTTCCTATGAAATCCGACCTGTTAATTATTTAAATTAAGCATTCATTAGCACTGTAAGTCGGTACGTCAAGAGTAGGTAGGGAAGGATATTAATTTGGAAGCATGTGCTAGACAGCACAATAAATATCTATTTATCCCACTTCCTGCAAATGGTTGAATAGGCCTACACAGTGTTACGCGAGACTTCGCGAGATTTCAGTTTTGGAGATAAACAAACATGTCGGCCGGTGTGCAGTAAATAGTGCGATGGCGTTTTCTATCTTATATTGGGCAAATTATACAGCTGGAACCAAAAAATTGAGCAGAAAATCTGAAATAGCTGTACATTCTGACCATGTACTGAGGTTTATTTATGACCAGGAAGCTTCATACGTCCGCGGTGTGGTCCAAGCTTCAATGCGAGACAGGAGTTATAATGTAACGGTAGGCGGATTTCCCTTCATTTTGAGACTGAATACACAAAATAAAATGATAAGAAAACGTTTTGTTTGATTCTACTTATATATGAGCTAAATATATCAATATATTATTAATGGATATATAATATATAGATTAGTCTTGGAACGAATTATAATGTGGAGAACAGCACCTGTGAGTGTGTTAATGGGCAGGATAAATGTCACCATAAGGCTAGCCTCCTTCTCTATGGGTAATCTAATCTAAATTTATTTAGTCAATAAACAACTTATAAATCTATTGAATTTATTTTAAAGCATTCGATGGACCTACAAGCATAATAAAATATGCTATGCATGTTAATATATGTAACTTCTTTTCAATCCCCGGTGGACAAGTTCTAAACAAATTTCAATAAAATAAGTATGTATGTCAGGTATTTAATTCTCAACAGGTATAAGAATGTCTCCAAGACAGATGTTCGGCAGTCGTGGGTGAAAAATCCGAAGTCGGTCCCACCTCGACAAACCAAGACAATGGAGGACCTTTTCCCTGCAGCAGACAGATTTGTAAATTACAGGTTAGCTAGCTCATGATTACTACATTTACTAATGTGCATTATATATATATATATATATATATATATATATATATATATATATATATATATATATATATATATATATATATATATATATATAGATATGTGTGTGTGTATGTATGTTTGCATTTAACTTGTATTTCAATTTACAGTATGTAGTGAATGATAATATGTAGTGTACCTTAAGTATCAGATTTAATTATTTTGCATGGTAGGCCTTTGTGTGAAACCATTTAGCATTTTATTTTGCTCTATTTTTTTAACCTTTGTCAAAAATTATTAGGGCAACAAATAGGCCAGTCAATGATAGGGACAGGGAGTTCCTATATCAGAAATTGACTACTGTGGGGAGATTTTCAGGTTAATCTGATCCTTTTTTTTATTGTCACATGTTTAGCTTTGTTCTTGTCTTTTTTTTGTTCTTGTTTTTGTATTAAACTTTTAATAATACACTTTTATTATGTTTAAACCTATTTCTTTTACTCTGAAGGAGTTATTTGTACATTCTTTTCACATGTCATTGTATACATTGAAATCCCACACTTATTTGAAGTAGTGAATAAAATAAGTTTGAAAAAATATTAAACATATATACTGGTATTAATAATTGGTAATGTAACTGCAGTTTAATACAGGGTTATTGAGTATTTGCCTTATTTTTCTATGAGGGTTTAAATTTTTTTTTAATTTAATCAACAGCAATGCATTGGATACTATCCCCTGAGCCGCCTGTACCCACACTTGCAGTGCCTCTAGTTGAAGACCTCATATCTAGCCAGGAATTTATTTCTGCGGAAAATCCGATTGCTTGGATGAAGCAAAAATTAATGATTAATGAGCAACAAATCCAACAGGTAAAGACAAAAAAGTTGTGTAGTGAGTTGAAAGTATTCAGTTTTAATTTGAATGTTGTTTAAGTTTAAGGACTTTTGTAGATTGCCTCTCTTACCACTGGTCAAAAAGAAAATTGCATGTGGTCATCTGTTAGGAAGAATAGATTAACAGCATCAAACTTTGGTTGTGTTTTGGCAGCGATCAAGAGAAATAGGTATACCTGTAGTTATATGCCTTTATATGTACATTTAATTAAATAATACATGTAAAAGCAGTTAATTAAATCAAAAATATTGAAAATTTGATCCTTATTTAACAGATGTTCTTGCTCCTTATTTAATAGATATCCTATCTCCTTATACAAAAGACTATGTTCAGCTTATGATCTGTCAAAAAAGGATGCTATTATTTGGGGGATGTGCAATGAAAAAGTCGCCATTGAAAAGTACAAAACTTTTGGGGATGCAGTTGTAGAGCCAACAGGTTGGTATTTTTCTTTCATAAATCAAGCAAAATGTTAATTTCTTTAAGGCAAATAAATAATAATAAAAAAAATTGTACTTGAGATAATTTAAAATTCAGTTATTAAACTGAAGTTGAAGATAATGAGTATGAATATACTGTTTTGATGTTATGTTTATAACAAGTCTTCTTGTACATAAGTGCATAACAATATTCGGAGTGTTGCTTTATAATGTTATCCTGTAACTTTATAATGCTATTTATAAGGTATCTGGCTACACTGTAATGGGGTTCTTGGGTCAAGCCCAGATGGACTCATTCGTCGCCCAGCTGCATTCGAATTCAACTATCAGAATCCAGGACTAGCTGACATGTTAGAGATGTTAAACGTTAAGCCAGAAATTCTGGAGGTGAAATGCCCCTTTTCAGCGAAGAATATGACCATTCCAGAAGCTATTGAAAAAGTAAATGATTTCTGCCTAGGTAATAATAGTGTATATTAAGTATTTTTTTGAAAATGTTAATTATTTTCAATAACTCCAATATATATGTTTTATATGATAAAGTTAGGTACCCATGTAACAATTGTTAAAAGTTTTCTCCTCCTGTTGTAATTATAATGCTAGTACTCAAGGCATATAATTAGCGTTCTCACTTTATTGTAAGGAACAAATTACTTAAAAATTTATACTAAATACATAATATTGTGTTTTAATGTTTGAAGCACCAATGAAAATTCTTATTCTATAAAAATGAGACAAATATATTTTTATTTATTTTTTCATACAGAGGTTCAGGATTTTCATGGAGTGAAATCATACAGATTACGAGAAAACCACCAATACTATGATCAAGTTCAAGGACAACTTTACATAACTGGAAAGTCCTTGTGTGATTTCATGGTCTGGACACCAAAAGACTGTGCTATTGTTAGAATTAACAAAGACGTCAATTGGGGAATTAACATATCTGTTTTGACAGACTTTTATTTCTGTAAATTTCTTCCTTATGTACAACAGCTATAAAATATAACATTAAACATGGTGAAAACATATTCTAATTTTAACATCTTAGTTGTCTACACTTGCAAAATTCTGAGCAATTTCTTGCATGAGAGGATCCTGAAAATTGACTAAAACACAGCATAATTGAAAGACTTTTGTAGAAATGTATCTAAATTGCTGAGGGACATGCCTTAAAATTTCATAATTTTTAATGCGCTCATTTGCTCTTTCAACATGTATGCGAGACTTGGCTATTTTTCTACATAGCTGAACCTCACTGGGGGTGTACTGGGATTTAGATGTGAGAAAGGGAGGAATATTTAAATGTACTCCTTGGGGCAACAACTTGTGAATAGTGAACCCTTTGTCTGCTAAGATCATATCACCTGGTGCTAACTGTTCTAAGACCTTACAATGTTCTACAATTGCAACATCAGATGTGCTGCCAGGGTACAATTTACTAATAAATACCAAAGCACCATTTGGTGCAACACCTGTAACACTTTTAACAGTGTGTGAATTTTTGTATCCACTATATGTGCTGGCCTGCAATCTCATGTCATTCCCTGGAACATCCTGGGTGATTTCCGTCGCATCAAGTACTATTCTACATGAACTGAAATCCCCAAAACTTATAGGCATAGACCCCTTGCACTTTTGGAGAGAAGGAATGCGACTCTCTACGAGTCCTTCATATAAAACTTCATGCAATGCACAAATCTGAGAAGTTACAATGTTATTTACAGATGACGCACTAGTGTTGAACCTCTCAGCAAGGTCCAAAAATGGGGTGTTCATTGTCAGTTTCATTAAAGTCATCAACAATTGGTCAGTCAAGGAAATGAAAGATGGTGTCCATCCATCAATATACTTTATCTGGAACCTCTGCATCATTTCATCAATGGCAAGAAACATGTCAGGACGTAGACTTGTGTACATCAGCATCTATATCAAAACATGACATTAAAAACACAGTGTCAAGAATGTTTCTTTTCTTTTATTATTCAAATTTATTTGCCCATGAAAATGAAAATACTGTCCAGCAGTATTTCATATAAACAGTTTTACAAGATATAAGCAGATTTATTTTCTTTCCTGGCATTGGATGTTCTAGCACTTATCCAGTCATTTATCACAGGCTGATGAACTGTCCAGCAGTTGGCCCATTATCACAATAAACATGTAAACTGAAATGAAAATACTTAACCGCAAAGTATCGTGTTCAAAGACATGTGTGATCACAGCTTATTTTTATGAAAGGAGATTTTCAACTATAAATTTAAACGTTTTAACAAGGTTTTTATAGCTGAAATTTAATTTAATGTCTATATTGAATGATAACAAAATTAAACTTATTTATCTTATATATACTATTTATACTATAATATACATGTTATATAATACCTGATATATTTATACTATTTATCTTCTGAAACGTACCTTCCTTTCTTCACTTATGATATCACCAATCCTGAATGCTCGCTTTGTTGACATCATCCTGACCTGTATTCTTAGTTCTTCAACCTCACGCCTCAGGTTCTGGTGAATACATGTAAAATGTACATATACCGACTTACAAATAAGAATTAAAACATGTACCAGGTAAAATACCAAAGACACCAAGTTTTAATATATCCTATCAGACATTTTTTTCTTAATAAGGTGAATGCTATTGCTACTATTGAAGTACATGCACTATGTCACTTATTTTTGTGTACATCTGTCATATTTACCTGATTCTCTTCTTTTAACTGATGATATGAAGCCTGATAGGTGTGATCTAGAGAAACGTGTAATGGTTGACATGACATTGCAGTAGATTCACACTGGTCTTCAGAGACTGCTTTTTCTTTTATCTCTTTTTTTTCGGTTCTCGACAAGCTGAACAAAAATAAAATGTAACATTTTATGCACTGAAAACTTAGCTTTAATCAGTTAATATATGATTGTTTATTCCATCAGAAAAACATATAAACAAAATCATGTTTTACTACACTATATAAAAGTAGCCCTGTTATAAAGTACCTGTTTATTTTGCTCGGATCAGGGAAATTGAACATTTTTCCACAACTCCATGGGAAGAGGGTGGGGCCATTACGCTTCTCACCATCTACAAAGTGACAGCTGCAGATCCTGTCATTCTGAGGGATCATGCTTCTATCCTTACGTCTGTTTTATTAATAAACGTTTTAAAAAGTCATATATTGATACATGCTTTGAAATGTATACAGCATTCTACGTACAAACAGATGACAAAGGTCAAAGATATGATAAGTGATGATACGTACCTGCAAAGTTTTTCCCATTTCTTCGCCAATGCGAGGCTGGTTGGGACATCTTACATGTTTTTCTCAACCCTTGGTGGTTACAATCGAATACAAAACAAATTGTCATAACCGTATACGCCGCCAATCTACTATAATTGCACTATATATCGATCTCCAAGTTGTCTCCGGAAGTAGTTTACCGGAAGTGAGATTTTACGAGACTGTGTAGGCCTATATTGACTGGTTAAAACAGATCACATGACTTCCCGACACTCTCCAATACATGTACCTTCTCCTATTAAGGGGATCCCAAAATCGGGCACGGGATTTTTTTCTACTGTATCTGATGTAAATAAATGGCAGAAAGCAAACAGTTTGTCTGTTGAAATTTTAATTGTGATGACGTAAGACTGAGAATATATAATGTTCAATGATATTTTGACCTTTTTTCAGATGACCTAAAAAATAAATTTTGTAAAGGTCCTTTTTTATAGGAAATGAAAACACTAAGTATCTACTTTATATTGATGCTTGAAATTAGACATTGGGTCATGTTACATTGTAAGTTAATTGGTATATGGTTAAGACCGTTTGATGGATAAAATGAGCCCAGCTCTTTTGACAAAAATCAAAGAACAGGTGTGATTGTAAATTTGCACGAAACATATGTTACATTATTGTAATGGCAAATAGATTCAGGATCTTTTAGGTATAATCAATTAATCATGTCGTTGAGACAGTGCTGTATAAAAACACAGTTGTTTTTACCTCGTTTATTTAACTAACAGAGAAAATCAAAACATGCACAGGAATGTAATTTCCGGATTACTAAAACATGCACAGAAGAATTATTTCCGGATTACTCAATACGAACTAACATACACTACACTCCTTCCTGACTATAGTCTGTCCCACCAAGCTACTGTCACCACTTTTTGCAACATATCTCAAAATATATAAATACCTTGGCCTTCAACCTAGGTTCGAGAGATAGATCATTTTTTTTCCAAACTTCCTGCATTTATCCGAACCCTCGAGTTCAACCGGTGTATTGAAACGGCGGCAAATTCAAAGTCTACGGGGATTTAACATGGTAAACTCGTCCATTAGCGTCAAGATCACGGGGCAGAAAACCAGTTTATCGAGGGAGTAGTCGTTCTTTCCAAATTAAAATTACAAAAAAATCCTAAAAATTCAACGAAAGCAATTCAGTGTGTTTTGGTAAAAAATATAAGAATTGTTTTGCATTCAAATATATTTGACGAGTTTTCTCATAAACTGAGAGAAAATAATCCGAATTCAATGCAGTACAAGTTGTGGATAACACACTGCTCTAGAAAGGGGATGTTGACACGATACAGCTTCCTTCGATGAAAACGTAAGTTGTTTTTTTTTTACTTCTGAAAGTACACCCACAAAAGAAGTGTTTTCAAGTGCTAATGATTTGTCAAAATCAAGCATTATTCGGCGAAATCGCCCAATGCATATCTGCACAGTAGGCCTAGTGGGGGAAAACGAAAACTTTCAGTAGATCTATAATGGTAATGACTTTTTTTGTAAGAAGCTTAAGATTTTTAATATTTTATATGACAGGTCTACTTTCTCTTTCAGTCACAGGGAACATATCTAAAACGCAACAGCTGGTCCACAGAATTCATTGTAAACAATCCTTTCACCTGATTAATAAAATGTCAAATTTCCCCCTTTTAGTTACAGAAAATTTTCGATTAAATATACATTAAGTTGAGGATAAAGTAAGCATGCTGCATTTTATTATAAAATAAATGAACTTAGATTAGCTCTCAGAATGCAAATTATTACGTTAATCCTAAGCTTTCCAGGGGAGGGGGCATGCCCCAAATACTCCCATTTTGAAATATTCACACTTCCAGTACTAACTTTGCAGTTACATTTCATCCCTTCATGTGAAAGGCAGTGTGATTTTTTTTTTGGTTGTTCCTCAGTCCCCCCTCTTTTTCACTAACAATTTTTTGTTAAGTTGGAATTCATAATATGGTAATGCTGCAAGTTTCCCTGGTATACAACCCTTGAGATTTCTCTTTTTTTTTCTTTCACCAGTATTGTAAAAAAAAAAATTATTTTTTTTTTTTTGGGGGGGGGGGGGTTATTTCTTTAAAGTTCATAATTTGAAATTCATTGACTTACATCTACCCCATAGTTAACCCATTTTGTTCAAACAATAAAGAAAGAGAGCATACAGGACAATCCCCTGCTGTGAGATATATTACAATTTTCAAAGTTCAAGGAAGAGTTACATTTATAAAAAAAAAAGTTGTTAGTAATGTCAATGGCAAACTTAAATTTTCACTACCTCAGGATGCTTCCGTATCAATATTACTAATCATGGCTTTGCTGTTCTTTAACAGAAGAATTTTAAAGACCCCCCCCCCCCATGTATTCCTATGTAATATGCTCATCGCTCATTGTGGCCCAGGGTTAGAAACTCCCTAAAATTACAACTCGCAAATAATTGCGAGTACCAACAAAGTGAACTCGCAATTTTATAAGACTACTTGCAATTTTCATATAAAGTTAAATTTATATAAATTAAATACATGTAACTTAAGGAAAAAGTAACTACTGTACAATACACAAAATACAACTACAGTGTGACTTTTATTTAAATTACTGATTTAAATCAAAAGTATTGTGTTCTGTCATATTATATAATTTTGCTACAGTTTCCATGCAAAAAAAAAAAAAAAAAAAAAAATCAACTTGCAAGTTTTTGTGAGTTACCTAATTTTCAACTCGCAATTTGGGAATTCTAACTCGTGTTTTGCGAGTTGTATATAGTGAATTTTGAACCCTGGTGCCCCCACCCTACCCATCCTAAAATTGAACAAATTTGAATCTACACTACCTGAGGATGCTTCTATAATAACATGACTAATCATGGCTTTGCTGTTCTTGAACAGAAAATTTTTTTCAAGATGATTCCTATATATTCTTATGCGAAACTTTGACCCTCTGTTGTGTCCCCACCCCCCTAATTTGAACAAACTTGAATCTACACTACCTGAGGATAACTTGATTCTACATTACCCAAGGTTGCTTCTGAATTAATATGACTAATAGTGGCAAAGCTGTTCTCGACAAGAAGATTTTTAAAGACATTTCCCATGTATTCCTACATAAAACTTCACCCCTCTCTTGTGAACACCCTCCCCCCCCCCCCCCCCCCGGGGTTATGATATGAATAAACTTGATTGTACATGTAATGTAATTTGAAATGAAGCTTTTACATAATTTTCATCTTTTCTTGCCTAGCTAGTGGTTCTTGAGAAGATTTTTAAAGATGCCACTAAATTTTCATGTACTCTTCATTATCTCTCCTTGAAAGAAGGCATGGCACTTCCTGTGAACAAACTTAAATCCCCTTCACCCAAGGATGCTTTGTCACATTTGCAGGTTTGTTTTAAATTGGCCCAGCGGTTCTTGAGAAGAAGTCGAAAAAGTTTATAGATGGCAGACGCCAGACACCCTTTGATCAGAAAAGCTCACTTGAGCCTTCGGCTCTTTTTTTTCTTTCCACATACCTTCATAATTGAAAATAAAAAATACTAATCAATAAGTTATTCAATTAAATAAAAGAAGCAAATGTGTAAAAGATGATATTGACAATACAATTTTTGTGAAATATTACATCATGAACTTAAGAATTAAGAAATGTCTTTTCTCAGAGTGGGGGATTATCTTCGCCTTGTATGCATCCATTCTTTATGTCCAAAAGAAAAATTTAGCAAAACATTCATTTGTAAAATTAAAGTTATGTACAGTATTCTAGCATACATGTACTAAATAAAAGGCCAGAAAACTGATATGATGCATATTGTATACAGTGTATGAGCACATTGTAATAAAGAAGTAAAGTATACTTGATTATGCCTTTATATTTATTTACATAATTTTTTTTTTTTGAAGGTTAAAAAAATTGGAGTACATTGTTATGATGACCAGACTCGAAGGCATTCATGTAATTGGGTGAATCACAGAGTCTCAGGAATCTTCTGGACTAGTAAGTTATACATGTACATGTATATATAAAATATTAAAATGTCTTTACTCTGTCTGAATTGCATACTTCAGGCTGGAATCTGAAAATAAAAATTGTAGTTTCCATATATATATAAATTATACTACATGTATCTTGGTACATGTAGAATTGAAATTCATTCTTCAATTTCACTTCAATTACTTAACCATAAATTTTCATTCTCAAGAATTTTAATAACATTTAAGATGTGTTTTATTATCTATTTCAGACCAAAAGTGATGGCTGAAACAAATATTAACTGGTAGTCTACTTAGTGATCTGGACACTGGATAAGGCAGAAACCATTTTCAACAGAACTGTTAAGAGTGTAAATAAAAAAAAAACAAGATACCCACTCTCCAACTCATTCATAGCTTCATTCTTGGCTTCATTGATTGTGTTGAATATGAGTCAAGACTTTTCTATTGTACCAAGGCTGAAGGGACTTTCAAACCATAAACAACATCACCACAGAGCAGTTGACTTTCATTTCTTCTTCTGAATTTGTATGTTATACCCTTAATTATTACAGTGTGAATTTACTTTGCACAGAAGAAGATGTAAATTAGCATAACTTCAACAAGTATTTACTTTTTCAGTTTCAGACACATAACTCAATTATTTGGTATTTTAAAAAAAGTAATTGGCAGCATTTACTGTGGAATCATCATTGTTCTTGGGGGAGGATAGATGGGTCAAACATATCCACTAATTTATATTCCCACAAATACTTATTTTTTCAACTTGTCAATTCATTGAATCTTTAACTTAATGTATTTTAAAGTTAACCTTATGAATTATGTCTGCACAAACCAGTTGAATTAAATGCCTGCCTACTAACAGCTGATTAATGCCCCCCCCCCCCCCCCCCAATAAAATGATTGCACAGTTTTTCAATTTTCAAAAACTATAGAAGGCCATATACATGTATCTGCAGGTACTTTGGGTGGTTTAATCATCTTTGCTTGTGCTGGTCTGTCTGATGTCTTCAGCTAGCTATTCTGTATCCTAAAATTAAATTCTTGTTTCCAAATAAAACAGCTGTAAAATGCTTTGTATTATTTATGCTTATTTAATTTTTTCTATAGTTTTTAATTTTTTTTTTCTTAATGTTTGGAAAAAATAATATGAGAGGGATTCGACAAGAATTTATATTTCCTGCAAATATACATATTTTTTTTTTTAAAAATGTGTGTTATATATCAGGGACCTATATACTTTAATAGTTAGTAGAGATCCCTGGTTATATTTTAAAAGTTCATATTCATGCAAAATCTACAGACATAATAAAAAAAAATATAAAATGTATTCCATGAGTACATGATTGAGTGTGTCCTTGATCTTTGGTATTCTGGCATTTATTAATGGAAAGACTTGATATAAAATGTTTAAAATCTCAGGGCCCGGATTTACCTAATGCCGATACAGGAAGTTTTCGAAGGGCAAGGTCAAAATCCACTTGTGACGTAGTTTGATGCAGACTACAAGTCTTGTTTGCACAAAGATTCAGAAAGTATTAACAAAGGTGGATATATGGTGTGATAAGTGTTATAAGTATATAAATCCAGGAAGTGCACTTACGGGACATGTATAGAAGTGACAAGATGTTTAATCGTGTTTACATTGAACTATATATATATATTGTGTTTGGGATTTACTCAGTGCAAGGTAAAGTTGTAGATTTTGTTTACATTTACACTCTATAGAACGTATTCGCTTACATGTTTTGGCAAAGCAGTCATGGCACTCTTCCTTGGTTGATATTTTGCAGCCTCGAATGTTTTTAACATTCAAACTTACGAATCGTTTAGTATATGAATTCAAATGGGTCGCAGTGTTTAGCTCTTTTAAAATTCTTCTGTCAATTGATATGCAATGTATGCTTAAAACTCCGTATTTTATCACTAATTTTAAAATACACGTGTATTAGGTGCTTGGTAAGTCTCGGGCGGTATGCTTTTCCGGACGTCCGTAAGTGCAGAGAATTTCCGAAAGTGTGTTACGTCATTACGTCAATGACGGTAAAGTACGGAAATCCACGAATAATAATGGATCCCCTTCCGAAGTGACGGCCATTTTGGCAATGTTAAATCCCCGTAGACTTTGAATTTGCCGCCGTGTCAATACACCGGTTGAACTCGAGGGTTCGGATAAATGGAGGAAAATTGGAAAAAAAAATGATCTATCGATCGGACCTAGGCTGAAGGCCAAGGTATTTATATATTTTGAGATATGTTGCAAAAAGTGGTGACAATAGCTTGGTGGGACAGACTATAGTAGAATGATCACCATGAAAAACAAAAATGAAATACGTTAATGTAGCAAACAGTTCAATCAAATACAATTAAAAATTACTTCACACAAAATGAACTTTACAGAAGGGTTCATTTCAGTAAACAATCATTTCCAGATTGTGGATAAGCTCACAAATACAGTTTGTCCGGCTTATCACGAGTTCGTGGCGGATTTTGAAGTGGCACTGGTACTGGCGTACTGGTCTCTACGTCCTTCACGCATACCTGAGTTTTGTCGGTGGGACATGGAACCTTCACAGATGGCACAAATGGAATCTCCACTGGTATTGGATATGCGGCTTGATCTTTGGATGTATGAACTATTTGGTCAATGTACCTCCTCCAAAGAGTTCCATTGACATCGACCTTGTAAGATAAGGGGCCAGTGCGTGAATGGATTCGTCCATTTGCCCATTTGTCCAAGTTAGTGCGATAATCGCGCGTGTTTATCGAGTCCCCCTCAGAGAATTCTCGAATCACATTTCCACAGTGTTTTGTCGTTGAACCATATTGTTTTTGCAGTACTGTACGAGTTAAATCCGGTTTCATAATATCCAATCGGGTACGTATATTTCGGATATACATTAAAATAGATGGTGATTTATTAGATTTTCCTTGTGCGACTATGTTTAGGCTGTCCGAAGGCTTAATATGCGTTAGAAATAAGCTATTATATTTTGAGCTAGATTTTGATTTCAATGTCATATGACTATGTTGATCACGTGACGGACAAATATAAATTTTCCGAATTGATGCAACAAAAATCCAATCGGCACAAGTGAAAAACAAAATTATTGAGAACCGTTTGTTACATAAGTCAATTAAACGTATTCTTGGGCATATATAAAGTAATGGGGGCAAGACTGAGTTTTACTTCTTAAGGAAATATTTCACGAGAAATTCAACTTACCCACATACAAGGGGTCATTTTTCACTCTTCATCGCAATTGATACAAAATAGGATAAATTACAAACGATCCCCTAGCAACATTTAGTTAGAAGACACACTTCTCTAGTAGATTCACATAGAACGTCTTCAGTTAATCTTTCCTAATCACTTGTGCCAGTCTAATATACATTGTATACATGATTTATAAATTCTAACTCTGTCTGCGGACGTGTAAGGGGGAGCGTTTCATATTTATGTTCCCCAAACGAAGTTTGGGAACATATTGTTTTTACTCTGTTTCTTATTATTATTATTATGTTCCCCAAACGGAGTTTGGGAACATATTGTTTTTACTCTGTTTCTTCTTATTATTATTAAATCGAAAAAACTGTCTGTATCGCCTGTATGTGAATCTAGTTAAACTGAGATTTTAAGACCCCTGAAATAAATTAGGATCAATCTCCATCTACAACAAGGTTAATTAAATCCGTCCACCTTATCAATTAAGACTGACTTCAAGTCACTTACGTCTACCCCGTTGTCAAAACTAATCTGACTATAAATCTTAAGTACAGTTCCACGTAACAATCAGGCAGCCTATATATAAAAGGTGATACATGGGGGTTCTCAGAAATTAATGATTTTTCACTCACGGTTTTTTCTTGCTCTATAAGCCGTGTATGTGGAAGGAAAAATATTTTGGGTCATTGTTACTATGGAAACCTGGACAAAGAAATTTCCCTAGCAACCGCCCAATTTTTCTTTGTAGATTGACGAAATTTCACTCATTTTGAAGGCTTTATATGAAACGTAAATATAGTGATTTTTTCTCTCATTTAGTGTAATAAGAAAGATACATTTTTAAAGTGTTCTGTCAACATAATAAAAAGAAATTACATTCTCTAATATATTTGCTATAGACACAGGAAAAGATACATGTTTCCCATTTTTTGCTGATTCAGCATTTTGCTTGATTTTAGCAAAAATCAAGTCGATATTATTCATTTCACCATCTTAATACAACTGTTTCATCTATTTCGTGTAAAACCACTGGAAAGCCTCTCTTAGAATTTGAACTAAAAAGTTTTGCAAATTTGAAAATTCCTATCTGTTGCTAAGCAACAGAAATGGATGGTTTGATTAATTAAAAAAGGAGAAAATGAAAAGCATCGCAAGAAAAATCGAATAAATTGTAATCATTGAGTACCAAAAACAAATTTTAAAATAGTAAAATATACAGTATTCTTCCTTGTATACTAAAGACTTTTTACAAAAAGCTATCTCCATAGCAACAGCAAATTTTCCTTAGCAACGAAACATTGAAAATTATTTATAGGACATATTCATCTAATTTTTTAAAAGATTATCTGATTCTTATTGTTGGATTGCTATTGCCCAGAATCGACATTGTCAAACTGTTTTTTCAAAGGTATTTTTGAGTTAATTCATCCATAGCAATAGAACATGTCTACATAGCAACAAATGTATTTTATAAAGAATCAGTATGTAGCAATTCCTCAGCAAAAATCTTTGTCTTAAAAGGATGTTTACTAGGCAAAAACATTCTACTAATGGGAATGAATATCACTTACTTGACTTATGACTGTGGTATTTTTTTCACTTTGAAATAGTAAATCAATAACCTATTTTTCATGCTAGTGGCTTATTGAGACTCTAGAGTCTTAAAATTTCTTGCAAAGTCCTGAAAATTTTGCATCATGACCAATATTTGCAACGAAAACTGGATAGTCTAACTTCTGATAAGTTTTAAAAAAAACCAGTAATCTCGTAATAAAAAAATAGATTTTTGATAAGGTCTACTTGTGACAATGCAGGCCTGGTGAGGTATTGGTTGACCGAGGCCGAAGCGTGAGGTTAATCAGTTCCTGACAAAGTCCGTATAGTAACAAGTAGACCTAATTCAAAAGTCAATAACTGTATTTTAAAGTATCAGGATTTTTTTTTTTTTTTTTTTTTTTTTTTTTTTTTACATTTTTCACAATCCACCTATTTTCTTCATCAAAAGTATATTAACGCCCATAATATACTTAGTATTTTGTTTTGCAGCAAGATATCATAATTATTTTTCAACAGTTTAAACTGTTTAACAAAGGTGGAAAATAGTATATTAAAACTATAAATATTTCAAACCATTTACTTATATTGAGTTTAGACGGTTCGGTACTGGAGTCTGTGCG